AGCCCTTAACACCGCTTCCCACAACTGGTCCTCTGACTCAATGGCCTGGCGCTCAGTGCGAACCAAATTCTTAATCATTGCGCCAACATTTTCACACGCATTTAGATCAGGGCTGAGACTGATTTAAAAATAATTTTAAAATATAAATATTACATTTATTCTAATTATACCCTGGATGTGGTAGAACGAAGTCCTCGATGGGACCGATGTTCTCGTTAATCCAATCCCTGACTAAATTTGATTTGTGAACGGGATGATTGTCATGCAATAAATGCACGTTCCCGTCATCAAAATGTCTATCAATCTCAGGGAGAATTGAACTTTCCAAATAGTCTGAATATGACTCTTTTGTCAAACGATTGAGTCGATAAATGGGCCCAATTCCGTGGAAACTGAAACTAATTAAAAATTTTAAGAAATATTCATAATATTAAAATTAAATATTAATTACCTCGCAATGAATGAGACACTGAATCGTTGTGTTCTCTGAATTAATCTGATGTTTCGCTCATCATATCGAGTGCCTCGTGTACGCCAAACCCAAACACGACCGCCTTCTCCAGTGGATATCCCAAATTCATCAATGAATATGACACGAGACCAATCCACAAGTGTCCAGTTAACAAACTGTTCGGCATAAATGAGTCGCCTTTCCTTATGGAAATCTCGCAGCCGCTCTTTGATGGCTGCAACACGATGTCTGACGCCTTATGATAAAAATAATTAATAAGAATTCTGTAAATAAAATCATTATAAATACCCTGATCACTTAATCGCCTCCTAAGGGTACGACCACTTGCAGCAGCAATGTTTGCATTGCCTTGAATTTCCGGCAGTTGTCTCAACTCATTCAGATTACCCCAGTTGTTGGCCAGTGCGGCGTCTCTGAGTGATTGGTCGTCCTCTGGTTCTGTGATCCTATCACGCCCTCCAGCTCTTGAAACTGTAATGAACGGCAGTTCCTGGTCATCAATTTTGCACCACTCATAATAAGTTGGTTCACTGATCCCTAAAATTGAAAAAATTTTTAATATAATTTATTTACAAATCTTTAAATGTATTTATTTACCAACAATTCGGAGAATCATCCGTTTCGTCGTCTCTTTTGCTCTCAATTTTATAAATTGTCTGAATTTGAGCTCACGTTCAATAACACTGAAACCCATAACAACTCAAATTTGGTTTAAACTAATTTGAATCAAAACAATTCAATGCAAACGCCATACATTCAAATTTTGTAAACAAAAGATTAGCACATAAATAACGTGTTTATGTGAAATTTTGTCAAAAATAATTCAATTTTGTATTGGCCATCAAATAAATATTTTACCCTGATACTTTATATGGCAAATAGTATACCAATTAATTACGTGATTATCCAGCTACATTTTGGTGAAAACATATTTAAAATCGGATCATCCATTAAAAATCTATTTAATTTATCCTTACTAAAGGTAGATTTGGCCAAAACAGTATAGTAATATTAAGACATCGAGTGCAAAGGGTTCTGTCAAGCAGTTTATAATTATTTTGAAACTGTAAAATTTGTGTATAAGCTTAAATTATAATATAACCTAAAAATTTGTGTATTTTAAAAATACTTTCATTTTTTGTATTGGGAAAATATAGTATGCGATCATTATTACCAAGGTTAAATATAAAAACTAAATAAATATAATAATAATTAATTTTCTTGAGATAAATATACTGTATAATAATGAGACAAATTAAACATAAAATGTAATAATAATAATTATATAAATTTATAGAGCGTAAATAACTTAATGTAACATTAATTATTTGTTAATGGATATGTACTCTGCTCATTTAGTATTAGTATAACTTTCAAAGTATACATAGTGGCTAGATAATAATAATAATAATAATATAAATATCATCATTCATTATGTATTATTAAGATATAATAAATACTTAGCGTTTTTCAAACTAATATCAAATAATAATCATGTCATATTTCAATCCTAATGTATTACTTGATAAAAGTACTAGATACAAGTGGGTCGCCATTAATTTGTACATGATAGGTTTGGATTTGTTTGACTATACTTGTGGTCACAGACTATGGTTTCATAAACCGATTCTCGCGTTCATTACATTCACTATATTCTACACAAACCGTGTCTTATGTCTACTCATTGACAATGAATTCATGTCAATTGTGCTTGGTGATTATGGACATTTTGTAGGGCAACGAGTTATGATTAATTTGTATTTCACCCTGTTCGCTTTATCATCAATGATCACTCAATGTGTATTTTTCTATAATTATATGTTTGGCGTTAAACCGACTTTTCTGAATGTATTCCATATTATGTCCGGTTTGATAACTCTCGGTGCTGTAGGTCTAACCCGTAAGTCAGATGCATTACTACTAATTAGACATACTAGATTACTAGTGAAATTTTCCACCATAAACTGTGTATACGTTATACCTATTGCGGCAATAGTGGCAATAATAATACCATACCTTTTCCTTACATCCCTTACAAATACACTACTCTATGGTATACCCAATGGCCTACTGCTAGCCCTATGGTATCACTATTCCTGGAGTTACTTATTATACACATTAACCTATTTCTACATTATTTGTCTACATTTTAAGATTAGGTTACGGGATATTCACGGGAAGCTCCGTTACTCTAAGACAAATGTGTCTGGTACATATCAATTGTACAACACACTACATTCATTGAACACAATTTATTTAGAGATCAGTGAATATAACGCCACCTATTGGTCCAAAATATTGCTGTGTTTTTGGTCCACATTTGGTTCGGCGACTGTTTTACTATTATTTTCAATATTATTGATGTCAATAGATTTAATGTTCAAATTTATTTATTTTTATATTTTTACCTTAAATTCACAATTATTTTTATTCATTATATTCAAGGCATCGGCACTCAATTATGAGGCATATAAGTCGTATAAAATATTTAATTCAATCATGGTCAAAATATTATAATGAATATAATATTAGTTAATTAATGACATTATTTTAATTAAATAATACTTATTAATTACAGTATAAAATAAAATAATTTTATGTAAATAATTATATTTATTTTGTGAATAATATATAAATAATTAATTTTATTTGTTATAATAATCTTTGAATTCAAGTAGTACAGATAATTACAAATATAATTAAGGTTTAACATGGTGCTTTATAGCACTTATCAATATCCACGCCCTCCAAGTGCTTCCATAGACACCACATAACATGAAAGGGTGCCGAGAGGTCAGCCAATGAGTACGTGATCATCTCATCCAGCATCGCATCATAGCAAACATCCGGGTCTATTGATTTGTTTTCATGAATGGCCAACATTTTTGCAAACTGGTCTGGATCATAGCCTTTAATGCATTCGGCGAATTCGAGTAATTTTTTCTTTACAGCAGGATTATTGCACTCACCTTGATCAATAATTTCTTTACTCAGATTATCATGGTTTTAATTAGTTAAATACCACACAAAAACATTTTCAAAAACCTGATGACATCGTGGGTTAATAGATCAGTTAAATTTAGAGCCGATGTATAGCTTATCAACACAAATAAAATTACAATGCTCAATTTAGACATTATTTATAATGTTTGAAAATTTATAAATATTAATATAAATGCATAATTTTAACTTTATTTTATACCTTAAATAAAATTTTTGCTGTCAAATGAAACCGAAATAGTTTTAAAATTTATTAAAGTTATGTTATATATAATATAGAAATTAATCAATTTTTCAAACAATATTACTGTACATGTACATTATGTACAAATGTATAAAAATTCACATTTACCAAAAAGTTGTAACAAAAATCATGACATTTAAATTATTTATTATAAAATGGTATTTAGGTCGAAGATAAAATAATTAATAATAAATTTTAATTTATGATATTTAATATTATATTTTTAAACATTAATCTACAATATTTCATATAACAATTTAAGATTTATCTGAGTTAATTAATTATTTTCTGAAATATTAATAAATTAGAATGTATGTTTATATTAATTAAATTTATTACTAGCGAATGATAATTAAAATATATTTGTTTTTAATAATTTATACAATATGATTATATAATATTTTATAAGGAATGTTTAAAAATATTTTTAAAACAAAATTTTCTATATTACAATTTAGACAAATATATTTTTTAAATAAATGAATATAATTTAACAATCAATGGAAGTTACATTTTAAAATATTTATTAAATTTCAAAATTATTTTTAATTATTTCAAAATAGTAATTACAATATAAAAAAATAATTTTTAAAATTTATCCTCACATTAATCATTGCAATGTTTGACAATAAACAGACACAGATAAAACAAATATTAAAGTTATAAAATGACAAAATATTATTTATATTTAGAAATAAATTCAACAAGAGTAAATACAAAACTATTTAAATAAATATAGTTCAAATAATTTAACATGATATTTATTTATATAAGACTATATTAACAATATTAATGCTAGTATAATTATAACAAATATAGACAAAATTTTATTTTTGAACTTAAATAAATATTTCCTAAAAGAATTCATAATTAGAAATAATTTTTAAAAATTATGTCTAACATTTTAATAAAAATTTATATATTTTATGAATTAATTATAAATATGGTTTAATTTTTAATGAAACATACACGCAATATGTAAATTAATTTGACTTATTTAATATAAATTTATATTTATATATTTGAATTATTATTAAAAATATAAGTTTAAATAATTATTGCTTAATCATAACCTATGAAGCTAATTGATTTCTATTTATAATTATGTATATAAATTATTTTATATAAATATTAATTTGGATCTATTTAAATATTTACACAAAATATTGCATATAGAAATAAATTTATAAAAGTTTAACTAATAATACTATTAATATGCCATA